TTTGTTGAGTGTGAAGTACTAAACTCGTTAACGTCAAAACATTAAACAATTAAGTGAAGAATTAAAGAAATAAAAGTTGCTTTACTGTGTTCGCACAGGCTTATGCAAACCGATGAGACCTTTGGGAGACCTCGTGATCTAATCAATGCAAGCCCGAGACCGAAGGTCCAGAGGTTGCACCTACTCGAGAGCTCTCACAAACGTCTCCGAAATATGAAATTTTCATAAGACAGTACAAACACCTTTTGCTTCTTTTATAAAATAGCAATAATGCGAAAAATACAAAATTAAAACAAAGGTGTTAATTTTTTCTCTAAATGTATTCATGTTTGATTTGCAAATTCTCTTTGATTGACTGATTGATTTGATTGGTTGAGCACAGATCTGTTTTGCACAGGCTTATGCATCGACCAATCATCGCACGCGTTTCATTGAGTTTGATTTATGATGTGCTTTAACATACCGCGGAAAAGCTTTCATGATGATAAATCAAGTCTTCGGTAACGTCAATCACTTCATCGAGTTCTTCGGCTCGTTGTTGGTCCTCCACGACAAAGTTTTGCAAGTGAGGACTCTTTACCTAAACATTAAAAGCAATGTTTAGAAAGGTTGCATGATGCTAACAGTAAGAGATTGAAAAGGATTTTCTTCAAGTGAAATTTTTTACCTTATGTAGTATATTTGGACCCATTAACGTAGCGAGGTTTCTGCAGTTCATCTTATTGCCAGGAATCTACAGCAGATATGACAAATGAAAACAAATCAATATACACTGCATGAAGGGTATAAAAAAGTACTTAGAAAGACACAATGAAGATAAAATTATGTCAAAATATGATGTTTTTAAACACGCTCAAACATTGTTGCGAGAACAGCAACAAATATCAAAGATATAGTCACTTACTTTGCCTTTTCCTATAGTTTTTGACTCTGAAGATGACAACCGCTAAGGTTGTCGAAACGTCAGTCAACAACAACAAAAACAGTCCTTCTCAGGACTATACCAACCTGGACGATCTACATTTACAAACATGTAACGATACTCCCGGGTTCAAACCATTTACTTTATTAATAGGTTATTACGATCAAAAGTTGTCAGACAATTTCCTTTAAAAACAAAACGAAACCAAGCAAAACAGAAGAACTCTTCGCTTAAGTATTTAGCTATAGGATTCCGGACCGCTGTCAAATTAACGTAAAAAACCTCCCTCTGCTATACAGCCAATCAGATTGCAGGAAAGGCTAGGATTCCGTCTGCTCCTTATTTGTAAAAAAATGAATTAGTTAAGTGAAACTCACAATTTGGTCGTTTTCATCCTTTGTATCTTCGGCATATGACGCGACTTTCCTTAGAAAACACAGTAAACAATGTAGTGTGTCGCGGTTTGAGTCAGGAAGAAGGTACCATAAGTACTTCAGTCCTTCTAACTGTGTTTTTGTGTCTTTGAATCCTATTATCATCAGAAGTATAAAAAAAAAGAATGCGATGATCAAACTATTATCAAAATAAACCATACTTACAATAAGAAAACTTACTTTGAGTGGACAAAAAGGCTGAATATAACTCTCTCGTCATCAAAGGTTCTGGTAAATAACGAAAAAATTCCTTAAACAATGCAGCCACGTCATGTGCATTATCTTCGTCAGAAAAATTTTCCCGAAAGCCATTATCGAACTCTTCACGGAACTAAAGAAAGGAAGAAGGTTCAAATGTTTTTTGTATTTTACAAACTTTGCGTTTTTTTATGAAAGGAAGAAGGGAGGCGATCACAACAGCATAAGCCAATTCCTGTAGTCTTCATTTTCACAATTAATGAATTAATGTCGCTAAATTGGCATCTGTAACACACATAGATGATACATACATAGTAGTTAAATTTCCGCAGTTGGATAGATAGTATAATGATCATACATACTAACAAACTTTTAAATCTTGAAATTGCTTCTATAAGATCATTTGCTTAATTTTGCAGATCAATTTTCATGTTTCCGTAATATCAACTTTGAAAAGTTGTGCCGTTCACTTCAATGCTTTATTTAATAAATAATTGATTATCTCGCCAATATATATGCCCCGTGTAGAACTATTGTTTTGTAGTATTGCATGTATATTTCTAATAAGTTTTAGTTTTGCATAAAGAAATTTCAAACTGTAGTCAAATGTGTAGAAATTGTGGAAATCATGTCGATAAATCAAAGCGCAAGACAAGTTGCTAAAATGTTGCAAGCACATCTTTTTAATTATAATGCACTTAATTGTATTATTTTCTAACTTGCAAGAATGCATACGGTTTCATGTGATGGTCCTTTTCTGGAAAAGTGAAAGGTGGAATGGTCATTACGATTAACTTCATTCCCTAAACATACCTGCTTTAGTCTTTTCTTTGAACCGGGAACTCTGAAAATTCCCAGGACATGTAAACCTGATAATATAGACATTTTTCTTTGTCATACGTATAATTAGAATTGCAGTGTAAAAAGCATCGTGTCGTACCATGTGTTTGAAGAAAGTCGACTGACTGTAAGACAATAGATGGAACTTTGGGTGGAGATGGTATTGGAAGCTCTGGTTTTTTTAGCAAGCAAGATGCAGACGCTGACGTTGACGACAATGTCAAAGCATCGATCAGTCGAGAAGATTTCCAACCAGAAGATGCTTGCTCGGAATAGATGTTTGACGCGGATTCACCATCGCTATGTCTCTTGGGCTTATTTAAATCACTAGATGAGCTTGCCAATCTCAGAACTGAAGTCGTGGACGATTCTTTCTTCGGGGTATTATTGTACATATTTTGCTTCAATTGTCGTTTAAGGGTTGCTGTTGCAGGCGGTGTGTTGGATGATGCACGTCGTCTTCTCGATAGTTTTTCTTTTACTTCTTGAGAAATACCACTAGGCTCACTTTTTCTTCTCGTTCGCCGTGGATTGGGTTTGACGCCGGTTTGTGATATGTGATCATTTTTTATGACAACATCAAGGGGGGTTCCAAAAATCGCCGTTTTACCTTTACCTAAATACATGTAAATAAGATGGAAATTCAAAAAGATCTCGAGACGTCTACAAATGAATATGAACAAATGCTGATAGACGGACAAAGTTCATGTTATGTTTGGCGAAAAATTTCTATCTTATATCGATAAGATTGAGTACAGTGAACGCATGTGTTTGACATGCAAATTTTATTAATGAGATCTGTTGACCGATGTGAAAAATATGCCCAACTTATAAATAAAAGCAATAACAAGATAAGAGTCTTGTGAATTAAGTATAGAGAAGGCATGTAAACGATGTGCCGATTGTATAAAAACACCTGCATATACAAAGATTCTGAATTTGTAACCTCCATTAAATAACAATCCATTCTCGGTAATTGATCGTTTGCGTCCTTTAAGTGACCTCTTTAATCTCTTGCCAAAATTTTTCCCTTCACCTGTGTTGGAGATGACGTAAAAAAAGCTTTCAATGAAAATATAAAACAAACTGAGAAAAAAAGAAACATGTGTGTAACAGGAGGGGTTTAAGGATGTCAAGTGATGGCGTAACAGGGGGGGAGTTTTAGGGATCCCGACAAAAACTGCCAAAAATATATTTAGTAAAAACACATTTCTGGGAAATAAAATTACGAGCGCTTAAATGCTATCATGGCAAACTTGTCGATTGTTAATTAATTGAAACTATTTTTTGTTTTGAAGAATTTTTGAAGGCGTACTTTCACCAAATTAATATACTGTAGTAGATTATTCTCTAACCAAATATTTCAGTGGAAATTGTTTGTATAATCGCAAGTCCTAAGTCGAGGAAATATAAATAAATGATCAAACACGCTCATTCAGCCCGTTCCTTGTGAAGCAGGGGGGGGGGACTTGTGGCTGATCCAGGGATGGTCTGTAGCGGTTGCGTCATGCCAACAAAAATATATCGTTCTTCAACTTCAGTTAAACTAAATGATTTATTTTAAGAAATGAGATGGCCCAAAGATGAAGAAGGAAAGAAATGGGCGAAAAAATATGACCATGCATTGTACACAAACCAAACGCTTATTTCTAAAATTCATGACAATATATGTTGTGCTCTAACCTTTGTTGGAAGGTATTGTACATTGTATACTCAACGCCTGCAGTTTATGTAAAGCTAAACGTTGCAAAGCACGGCGCTCAGGTCCAGATAATACTGATATAGTGGTTTCTGTGAGAACAACTGACTGACCAGCCGCCGATAACCAGCAACAACTACCCTGTAAGAAATCATGTGGTCAGCGGGTTAAAGCATGAACGAGTGGAAATTTTCCGCTGTTTCAAGTGATAAAGCGTTTTGCCCTCCTGGCACACGTATACTTTAACACCAATATTTTAAATTGAAAACAGCTTTTAGAGCATAATTCATCTAGGAATATTCTACGCCTGAGAAATCATATACAATCAAACCTTTTTTGAATTATCTATTTTTAACTACACCATATTGCTTGATTAAATCATCGTTGCCATGTGATAAATTGCTCTCACGCTTAATTGAATTGAATCGTAGACGAGATTGTTCATTTGCTTTTCCTTGATAGTGATCGATTAGACATTTCAAGTAGTCTTTGTGATTTCCAATTTTGTTATTAATAGCTATATGCATAAGGCTACCATTGTTGAGTAACCATTTAGAAGTTACGCGATAACGTACTAGTATAAGTTCGTTATAAGACTTGATTTTAGTACTGAATATCATACCAACATAATTAGTCTCTACAACGCTCAGGATCAACGACTCTATCGTATATTCTCCTTGTGAGGTGCTTTATGATATCACCAATCTTTAGACGGGTTATAGTTATGTGGCGATAGAAAAAATGGAAACGTCATGTTATATTTGATGAGAAAAAGTAACTTCTCTAATCGCTCATATAAATACTTGATTTTGACAAAAAAGCACTAAATCGTTGAAAAGCATGAATGTTTCATATTCAACCAGTGAGAGATTAGCTTAAGAGACTTACAAACATATCAAACATGTTTGTTTTTTTGGCATTGTGCATGAAGGAAAGTAGAAATTAGCTGCTAAATCATTAAATAAAATGCTAATTTGTAAATGCACGCATTTTTCCATGCAAAAATTTAATGAAATTGCAATTTCTCTGAAAACAAGCTAGAAATTTCTTATTTCTGATGGAATAGAATTTCATACGTAAATTAACCCAATCATGAAATTTATTTTGATGAAAATAGTATTTGGCGTTGGCAGATTTAGACATCTGAAATGCCGTTTTTTCTAACTCAGTAATGATTCTGGTGATTCGTTTTTTGATAGTTTAAACTATCTTTCTAAGCTGGTATGGCGATTCCCATAATGTGGACTTGTGTGACACAAGAAAGATTCTCAACAACGTCAATGATGTTCAAAAAACATCATAAAATAAGTACTGTAAACGAACACTCAGCACATTTGGCAGGCCTTCTGTAACAGCTCTATCCAAGGGTGCGTATATTTATAAATCGATGTATTGATTGATGAAAATATGTGAATGTTTCATTTGCTATGCGCATGTATGACAATTCTAAAAGTCTCTCTAGGCGCTGAATGACAGACATCTTGGAAAATCAGATCAAATTTCGACGTGCAGCAAACTCAATTTGATAAACAACAACTTATCTGGGCGACGAAATTTAATATCCGTTCAATAACTTAAGTCAAAACAACGCTATAATCTTTACGTTATTAAGCTCAAACATTGTTTTATCGCCCTATACGTCCTCAGAAACATTTACATTCGTTTAGCGATTTTCCTCAAAATCAGTTTGGAGCAGAAAAAATTGAAACCATTGATTTCAATATTTAATATCACAAAGAGTAATAGATAAAGAGTAATAATGGCATGTTTGTTTATTGATTGTTGTAAGTATAGAAAACATAGTAACCAGAAATGTACCTAACCGTCTATAAATATCTTTATTGTCCATCTTTTTTGCTCTTGCAATGTTACAATACGAAATTGGTACTGACGTTTACTACAATACCAATTTATCAAACAATTGAATTTATTGAATATCAAATTGGCTCTATCCATTTCTTTTCGTACTCTTTGGGTGGAAAAAATTTCACATAATATTTGTAGAATGATAGAATTTCCGGATATTTACATATTCAAGCGCCGAACAAATAGAAAAATTTCCGAGGAAATTTCGACAATTAATTTTGTGCTTAGAGACCAGTGTAATATTCTATTTGTAAGAGAGCTATTTCGGCTTAGTTGCTGCTAAGAATAGGGGACTTTGCAGTGATGAGGGTTTGTTTCATAAAATATAACAATCTTAACTTTCGTTTGTCTTCAATAATTGAGATATTTTAACCTACCTTAGGCGTCCATAGTGCTGTACCAGCGTTTGAGACAATCTTTGTTCGATTCCGCCATGGTTTGACAAACTTCTCCATTGTGAGCATCGAACCTGAAGTAAATAATGTGCAGATAAACATACACAGAATAACACTCTACTAAATCAGCCTGAACATTTAACTTGATAAGGAGAAAACATACTTGAAATTACTTATGGCGCATGTTTGAAATCCAAGGCATTGGTTCATAAGTAATTTTAATCTTGACGTTTCAGTAAGTGACAAAGATATATGTCGTCATCACACATCCAAGTAAAATACAATATTCGCTCGAATCTAAAGATTTCATTTTTTGACATTGCCTTGAGAAAGCTGTTCTTATCTTACACAATGATTAATGAGCTCGTCTTTATGAAGACAATTGGTTCGGATTACTACAGAACGTGTGCTCTTTCTTTGGTATGTTGTCTCAAGTATTATCCGAAAAAAACGTGCTGACATGTTGATGTTAAGTCAAAAAAAAAATAATGAGAGACATTTCATCCATAGCATGTGCAGTTAAGCATCTTTTAAATTTCATAAATCAACTGAGTATTTCTACACCGACTATAGGCAATGCAAGTCTGATAATTCTGCCCAACATTCTAAAGGACTCTAACATTGTATACACCTTAATAAGGACAAGTCAAATTAGTCAATATTGACTAATGTGCAAGACATTTTGCATTACTGGTGGTAGTTAATCCTACTTTTATGGTGATGATGTGACATCTTGTCGATGACAATGATTGTGAACCAAACGGACATAACATTATCATAGATACATGATGAATGTTTAAATGAATGACGATTCAAGACCGAGTGGTCATAAAAAAACAATGAATTCGTACAGTTGTTGAGTTTTTCCCTGTCACGTCAACTTTACCACATTTTGTTATGTTTTACTTTACATGCAGCAGTGATTGTTGACTTGCTTTGCCACGAAAAGTTTTGCTACGAAAAGTTTTGCCACGAAAAGTTTTGCCACGAAAAATTTTGCCACGAACTGATTCGACAATGTTTGCATTACTAGCAAGTGAAGAGTGAATGACGAGAGTGAAAATAAATTCTTTGATAATGATCATAAAAAGGATGATTTTGTAAAAGCACAACGTGAAGAAAAGTAAATCATCTTTCTAACAGCAAAGTGGCATTTTTGTATAGTATAAGCTACATTTAGAGGATATTTTTGCAGCTAATTTACAAAAATCTAATCGATAGAGAACAACCTGCGTAGGTTTAGAGTTAGCGTACGATTTTGATCTGATCAACAGATCAAAACTTTGAATGAAATAGCGGCACTGGTCGTAAAAGTCAATTTATAATATTTCTAATTTAGGTCACTCGTGGTGAGGTGAATGTTTTATGATGAACAGTCACCAGAGATAATAACTTATGTCAGCTTGTAAATCCTATGTACTATATGGTAGTTTCTAGAACTTTAGTGGCCATTCAGACATATGAGAATAATCCACTTGAAAGCTAAACTTTATAATACACATGACAAAAAGAGCATCCAATTAATTTGAGAGTACTTACACCAAACATGTCATCGCATATTAAAACAGCTTGGACGGCTCTACATCGAATTTTAACCTTTGATCCTGCGTTGAATGAGGATTCCAAAAGAATTTTCCTTACAATTCTTTGGAACAGTTGTTTTGACAGACAGTTCCGGATCAGATGATTCCGATCAAGTTTCATTAAAAAAATTAAATGGTATCCAAATATGCAGCCCAAGTTCATGTATAAGTAATACCAGTTTGCAATCATGCGCATGCCAAAAACATGTAAATATGCAGCTATCGGCATATGTTGAGCAAGAAGTTACGAATTATTAAAATTTTAAAAATTAATCTTTTTTCCTCGATCGACGAAACTCGCTTTCCCTGCCAAATTGCAAATTTCTATGGCAAGCTAAACAATCTTTTTCTACCTTACATTTATGGTATTAAAAGAAAAAATTAAAAATTTACATATAGAGAACAATTATTTAATGTACAAATTACTATAAAAGAAACTATATATATCTTAGAGACTTTGTTTTCATTTCTTCATTTTTTGAACAGTTATATATTTATATGTTAACCAGAAATTGCCTGCTTCTAATTTATGCAAAACTTTGTACAATAGAAACTAATTTGTAAATACGAATATTGTTCAAAACTATTTTCACACTATAAAATTAATACCATTTATTTTGTTTACATTGCGCGTTCTTATAAACAAAAAGTTTATTTTACATCAGTTCTCTCCCCATTGAACTTCGTGGATTTATTGCGACAGTGCATTTATGAGAATTCCTTAGTTCCAAAATGTCTTGCGTGACATTTTTATCAAACCTTCAGCCGTGCTTCGATAATCAGTAAATATTGAAAGCTCATTAAAACGGTGTTTCTTTTTTACGACATTGTTTAGATAATTGGCGACAATTTAGCGAAAAGCTAACTTTTTAATCATCGTTTTGAAATAATTACATTTAACGTTTGGAAGAACCTCGATACAATCTATTGTGTTATGATGTATTTTTTTGATGCAAAAAAGAAAAATTCATTCGTAATATAGTCATGATTTCCTGACATTCAAACACCGCGAGACTGTCATTTATCTCCTCCTTTATAGTTATGCATGTTAGATGCGCGACAAGGACTTTTCGGCATTTCAAATATGCAAAGTTTTGTTTCAATATTCAACTATCTTAACGCTCGCGGCAAGAGAATGCTGCGAAGCATTGCCATGTAAGACTTACTAACAATTCAGACTGTCTTAGTGCAAGCGAGTTTAGCCTTTCAAACCAAGAATTCTTGTTCACAATATTGACCTTTCACCTACATCTGCAAAATATGTTCGTATAAGGAAGTGCCTTGGTGGGGACGAAGCCTGTCGTACATCATCCTAACCTTTTTTTAAATTTCGACAAAAGCCCGAATCTTCTTCCTGATCAATGCAGGCATAAACTACCTCCGAATCTTTATTAATGTTCATAGAGGTAATAAAGCCGCTATGCCGGAGAAATGAACACAGCTGAGAAAACAGATGTTAACGACAGCGACACTATGATGATTGTCGTCAATTTATAGCTAGTATTGTACTAAAATAGTAAGCTCGGAAGTCCTTTAGATCTACCCCTGAACAAATCTTAGCTAAGCCTCTCTATCATGAAATTTACATTGCCAAACGACCTTGTAGGTAGAAATCGCACTAACTAGTGTATTTCAAATTTGTAGTGAACGAACGGCACCAAACAGGCCAATTATGTGTAATAGTACAAAGCATAGTTTTCGTTCTTTACGATCACATTCTATATCACCCACCTTACACATGAACTTCATCAATTGTGACTAATAAACATGAAGTTGTATAAAAAAGACGCATCGTAGTGTCCAAGAACAAGATTTCTCTCCATATATTTGTAGCGAACACAACAGCCTAATTTGATATCTCATACAATGTAATCGTGTCAATGCATAATATTTCGGAGTCCTGTCGCGATGACTTTTGTTCATACGCATGCAGAATCAATTATGCTTTTGCATGAACGCATAAGCCTCGTCTATAATTTTGTTCGTCATCATTGGATATCGACTACCAAAAGCGGCGTCATATCTTACTGATATTGCACATGGTTGATAATTTAGCAGACATACAGGAAGTTTAGTTGAATGTATTTAGTACGGTTTAGCAACGCCTTGCCAATTCGAGACACTTTCGAATAAAGGATGTTGAGTGTTGTATGTATTAATGTAACACTTGTTGAATGTGTGTGGCGAATTGATTTGTAAAAGCTTTTTAACCGAAACAGATTATTATAATAAAAAATCGTTTATAAAAATGATTTAGCTATGATAGAATATACTTTCACATAGCAGCTCTCTTATGTAACGACAGCACTAAAACAATATCCTAGCGCTGTTGGGTTTTGCTGGTATTACAACGTAAATGGTACAAAAAATAATCTTCAAAACTGATTTGTATTGACTTTAGTACGATTTTACAGGACAACGTAACCATTAATCTCGTCAGCTGTAAGTGCATAGGTCATGCATAATCTTGTCATAGGGCCATAAACTACCATTTCTAATTAAATGAATGCAAACACTATATCATTAATCTTAATTGTCGCATAATCAAACAATCAGTAATTTAGTTACAACATATCCATACATTCTTGAATAGCAGAGTAACTTTACGCCCAAATTTATGTTACTCATCCTATTCATGCACACGGCTAATAAAAAAACAACAAAAGATGTCTAATGCGAGATCTAATGAATCGATAAAAGTCATTACAATTTACTCAATTTTTAATTATTTTAAAATTACCAAAGTTATTGCGCTTCACAATACATTTTGGTTGCATAGTTTTGATGGCAATGTCTACGACGATCTCACGCACAGTTGACCTTCTACAATGTACTTTAAATGCACAAGACAATAGATAATTCTATAACGTTAGTTCTGAGCATAAGAAGACATGTACATGCGAAATTAAAAAAGGCGTATTTCAAACTCCAAGTTTGCTGTTCAATTTATAGATTCGTACATAATTGACATAAAAGTACTTTTCATTGTTTACGTGTTAAGCGAAAATATTTATTGACTCCAGTCAAAAGGCTTATGGTTATGTGAACGAAGTAGCTTTTTTCACGACGAACATTGTCCACCATTTAGATTTCATAACACGCGTAAAGTTTTCATACTTGTATATTAAACATTCGTTTCCTGACTGCCTCCATCATCAAGAAATGATTTCTTCAACTTTAGCATAACGTTAGCGAGAATCGCAGGCATAGCAGCGTGGTACCATTCCGGTGAACGACCCCTAAAGAGCAATTGAAAGAAACCATGATGAATACTGGGGGAGGGGAGGCTAAGAAGTATGTTATAATTAAGCTAGATTAAAATTTCGATCCCTTTTTCTGAAATTCTTATACAACCTAAATTCTTATACAACCTATACATGTATATATTGCTGCTAAAGTTACAAAATTTCTTCGTCGTAACGAAAATACAATCCCTTTTTTTGCAAGTTTGAAAATTTTACTATCCGGTGGATAATTCAGGCTTCGTGGAACCGGCTCAAAATGTATAACCTCAAGTACAATGATGAGCGCATTTACTGTGAAATGAGAAATCTACTCCCCAACCCGTATAGGTGGATTACAACCATTCCTCAAGGAGTCAAAAGACAAAGAGATAATCGCCATGTTGTTTGAAATTTGAATTGTAAACAAGAAAATCCTTTTGTTAAGTTCAACCAAGATGGCGGCCGTGACGTAACATTCAAATCACCTTTTCGTAATATCATAGATGGACAAGTCACAGTATAGGGAATATACAGTAAGAACACATTGCTGTTCAACTTGCTGCTGTATATTTAACTATTTTAATGGCTGCTGCTATGGTAATCACATGAGCAAGAAGATATGTTAAGCACAAAAAAATTCAATGCAGTGGGCCTGCTGCACGTTTCCTTTACTGTGTTCAAGTTCAAGAATAGATCTCGTATTTTGAGTCCTCCATTCATATGCCTCTCGAAATTTGCTCTCAAAACGACGGTCGAATATTGTGCTCGCTCTCAACACCTATTATGACAGCAATATTGACTGTATAGAGTGTGGTCATACAAGCTGAGGCAAGAAACGAAATCCCTTCTTTCGTACGGAAATTGAAAAAATGTCGGGAGTTTAAAAAGAATACTGTTATTAGATCAAAATAAATGGATATCTGGTCACGATAACATGACCATTATGATTGACCAAAGCTTCTGGTGAGAAAAAATACATTTATGTACATTTTTGACACATTTATGCCAGCTCGTTTCATATAGTATTCGGTTGTATAGAGCTGCAGTAGTCTTGTGTTCATGATGTCAAAGTGAAATAAGTTTCTCTAGGTTTAAGCAATGGATGTGAACAGAAATATTTCAAAAATTACAATGGGACAATGATAAATACATTTTGTGGGAGAGAATAACAAACCCATTTAAAGCATTTCAGAGAGAATCATTCACTGTCACAGCAAATCTTTATGTAGTTCTACTGTGAAAACACTTTAGTGCAAAACTCGTTGACTGCAAAGTTCTTTCATTGCAAAACAATAAAAGAATAATAATGATGATGTGCATAAGGACAAACAGAGACAAAAGATAATACAAAAGAATCTCATAAAAGCACAAACATAAACACAAGCACACAGTACTTAGACATGCATCTAAGATTCCTTTTGTTTTTGTTTCCTGCAACCTCGGGAGAAGGTAACTATGCTTATGTCGCTAGTGAAAACTATGCAACCTCGGGAGAAAACTATGCTTATGTCGCTAGTGAAAACTATGCAACCTCGGGAGAAGGTAACTATGCTTATGTCGCTAGTGAAAACTATGCAACCTCGGGAGAAGGTAACTATGCTTATGTCGCTAGTGAAAACTATGCAACCTCGGGAGAAGGTAACTATGCTTATGTCGCTAGTGAAAACTATGCAACCTCGGGAGAAGGTAACTATGCTTATGTCGCTAGTGAAAACTATGCAACCTCGGGAGAAAGTAACTATGCTTATGTCGCTAGTGAAAACTATGCAACCTCGGGAGAAGGTAACTATGCTTATGTCGCTAGTGAAAACTATGCAACCTCGGGAGAAGGTAACTATGCTTATGTCGCTAGTGAAAACTATGCAACCTCGGGAGAAGGTAACTATGCTTATGTCGCTAGTGAAAACTATGCAACCTCGGGAGAAGGTAACTATGCTTATGTCGCTAGTGAAAACTATGCAACCTCGGGAGAAGGTAACTATGCTTATGTCGCTAGTGAAAACTATGCAACCTCGGGAGAAGGTAACTATGCTTATGTCGCTAGTGAAAACTATGCAACCTCGGGAGAAGGTAACTATGCTTATGTCGCTAGTGAAAACTATGCAACCTCGGGAGAAGGTAACTATGCTTATGTCGCTAGTGAAAACTATGCAACCTCGGGAGAAGGTAACTATGCTTATGTCGCTAGTGAAAACTATGCAACCTCGGGAGAAGGTAACTATGCTTATGTCGCTAGTGAAAACTATGCAACCTCGGGAGAAGGTAACTATGCTTATGTCGCTAGTGAAAACTATGCAACCTCGGGAGAAGGTAACTATGCTTATGTCGCTAGTGAAAACTATGCAACCTCGGGAGAAGGTAACTATGCTTATGTCGCTAGTGAAAACTATGCAACCTCGGGAGAAGGTAACTATGCTTATGTCGCTAGTGAAAACTATGCAACCTCGGGAGAAGGTAACTATGCTTATGTCGCTAGTGAAAACTATGCAACCTCGGGAGAAGGTAACTATGCTTATGTCGCTAGTGAAAACTATGCAACCTCGGGAGAAGGTAACTATGCTTATGTCGCTAGTGAAAACTATGCAACCTCGGGAGAAGGTAACTATGCTTATGTCGCTAGTGAAAACTATGCAACCTCGGGAGAAGGTAACTATGCTTATGTCGCTAGTGAAAACTATGCAACCTCGGGAGAAGGTAACTATGCTTATGTCGCTAGTGAAAACTATGCAACCTCGGGAGAAGGTAACTATGCTTATGTCGCTAGTGAAAACTATGCAACCTCGGGAGAAGGTAACTATGCTTATGTCGCTAGTGAAAACTATGCAACCTCGGGAGAAGGTAACTATGCTTATGTCGCTAGTGAAAACTATGCAACCTCGGGAGAAGGTAACTATGCTTATGTCGCTAGTGAAAACTATGCAACCTCGGGAGAAGGTAACTATGCTTATGTCGCTAGTGAAAACTATGCAACCTCGGGAGAAGGTAACTATGCTTATGTCGCTAGTGAAAACTATGCAACCTCGGGAGAAGGTAACTATGCTTATGTCGCTAGTGAAAACTATGCAACCTCGGGAGAAGGTAACTATGCTTATGTCGCTAGTGAAAACTATGCAACCTCGGGAGAAGGTAACTATGCTTATGTCGCTAGTGAAAACTATGCAACCTCGGGAGAAGGTAACTATGCTTATGTCGCTAGTGAAAACTATGCAACCTCGGGAGAAGGTAACTATGCTTATGTCGCTAGTGAAAACTATGCAACCTCGGGAGAAGGTAACTATGCTTATGTCGCTAGTGAAAACTATGCAACCTCGGGAGAAGGTAACTATGCTTATGTCGCTAGTGAAAACTATGCAACCTCGGGAGAAGGTAACTATGCTTATGTCGCTAGTGAAAACTATGCAACCTCGGGAGAAGGTAACTATGCTTATGTCGCTAGTGAAAACTATGCAACCTCGGGAGAAGGTAACTATGCTTATGTCGCTAGTGAAAACTATGCAACCTCGGGAGAAGGTAACTATGCTTATGTCGCTAGTGAAAACTATGCAACCTCGGGAGAAGGTAACTATGCTTATGTCGCTAGTGAAAACTATGCAACCTCGGGAGAAGGTAACTATGCTTATGTCGCTAGTGAAAACTATGCAACCTCGGGAGAAGGTAACTATGCTTATGTCGCTAGTGAAAACTATGCAACCTCGGGAGAAGGTAACTATGCTTATGTCGCTAGTGAAAACTATGCAACCTCGGGAGAAGGTAACTATGCTTATGTCGCTAGTGAAAACTATGCAACCTCGGGAGAAGGTAACTATGCTTATGTCGCTAGTGAAAACTATGCAACCTCGGGAGAAGGTAACTATGCTTATGTCGCTAGTGAAAACTATGCAACCTCGGGAGAAGGTAACTATGCTTATGTCGCTAGTGAAAACTATGCAACCTCGGGAGAAGGTAACTATGCTTATGTCGCTAGTGAAAACTATGCAACCTCGGGAGAAGGTAACTATGCTTATGTCGCTAGTGAAAACTATGCAACCTCGGGAGAAGGTAACTATGCTTATGTCGCTAGTGAAAACTATGCAACCTCGGGAGAAGGTAACTATGCTTATGTCGCTAGTGAAAACTATGCAACCTCGGGAGAAGGTAACTATGCTTATGTCGCTAGTGAAAACTATGCAACCTCGGGAGAAGGTAACTATGCTTATGTCGCTAGTGAAAACTATGCAACCTCGGGAGAAGGTAACTATGCTTATGTCGCTAGTGAAAACTATGCAACCTCGGGAGAAGGTAACTATGCTTATGTCGCTAGTGAAAACTATGCAACCTCGGGAGAAGGTAACTATGCTTATGTCGCTAGTGAAAACTATGCAACCTCGGGAGAAGGTAACTATGCTTATGTCGCTAGTGAAAACTATGCAACCTCGGGAGAAGGTAACTATGCTTATGTCGCTAGTGAAAACTATGCAACCTCGGGAGAAGGTAACTATGCTTATGTCGCTAGTGAAAACTATGCAACCTCGGGAGAAGGTAACTATGCTTATGTCGCTAGTGAAAACTATGCAACCTCGGGAGAAGGTAACTATGCTTATGTCGCTAGTGAAAACTATGCAACCTCGGGAGAAGGTAACTATGCTTATGTCGCTAGTGAAAACTATGCAACCTCGGGAGAAGGTAACTATGCTTATGTCGCTAGTGAAAACTATGCAACCTCGGGAGAAGGTAACTATGCTTATGTCGCTAGTGAAAACTATGCAACCTCGGGAGAAGGTAACTATGCTTATGTCGCTAGTGAAAACTATGCAACCTCGGGAGAAGGTAACTATGCTTATGTCGCTAGTGAAAACTATGCAACCTCGGGAGAAGGTAACTATGCTTATGTCGCTAGTGAAAACTATGCAACCTCGGGAGAAGGTAACTATGCTTATGTCGCTAGTGAAAACTATGCAACCTCGGGAGAAGGTAACTATGCTTATGTCGCTAGTGAAAACTATGCAACCTCGGGAGAAGGTAACTATGCTTATGTCGCTAGTGAAAACTATGCAACCTCGGGAGAAGGTAACTATGCTTATGTCGCTAGTGAAAACTATGCAACCTCGGGAGAAGGTAACTATGCTTATGTCGCTAGTGAAAACTATGCAACCTCGGGAGAAGGTAACTATGCTTATGTCGCTAGTGAAAACTATGCAACCTCGGGAGAAGGTAACTATGCTTATGTCGCTAGTGAAAACTATGCAACCTCGGGAGAAGGTAACTATGCTTATGTCGCTAGTGAAAACTATGCAACCTCGGGAGAAGGTAACTATGCTTATGTCGCTAGTGAAAACTATGCAACCTCGGGAGAAGGTAACTATGCTTATGTCGCTAGTGAAAACTATGCAACCTCGGGAGAAGGTAACTATGCTTATGTCGCTAGTGAAAACTATGCAACCTCGGGAGAAGGTAACTATGCTTATGTCGCTAGTGAAAACTATGCAACCTCGGGAGAAGGTAACTATGCTTATGTCGCTAGTGAAAACTATGCAACCTCGGGAGAAGGTAACTATGCTTATGTCGCTAGTGAAAACTATGCAACCTCGGGAGAAGGTAACTATGCTTATGTCGCTAGTGAAAACTATGCAACCTCGGGAGAAGGTAACTATGCTTATGTCGCTAGTGAAAACTATGCAACCTCGGGAGAAGGTAACTATGCTTATGTCGCTAGTGAAAACTATGCAACCTCGGGAGAAGGTAACTATGCTTATGTCGCTAGTGAAAACTATGCAACCTCGGGAGAAGGTAACTATGCTTATGTCGCTAGTGAAAACCACGCTTAATTTAGTCTGATGGAATGACTTATGGTGGATTAAATATACGCTGCAGGGAATCATTAAATATTCTTAAGCTCTGTGGATAAATCCAGTAGCAGGTTCAACTCTATTTTTAATTGAAATTGAAAAAAATATGTAACATACAACACTTAATTTAGAACATGTACGTAATTAATTTCAAAGAAACTGCTTTTTTGCTGTTGCTGAATTAAATTTTTGCAAAAAATGATAAGATTTCTTCTAATACTGATCCTGCCTCTGAGAAAATTACATGATCCAGGAAATAATGGTCGGCAAGCTCAAATGAAACTACATAATATGCTTAAAATTTTTTTCGTTAAAACCACATGTGCAGTAATCATGTTATTCGGCACGGAAATCCTTTATCGTTCTTTAAAATATTAAATAAGTTTATGAAAATAACATTAGAATCGTGCAAAATCAAAGCCAATTAAAACTTACTACGGTTTCCCGTACAAAACTTCTTACTTTCGTTTTGATAATTCAATTTTTAACTTTCCAGTTTACAGTAGTGCCAAGACTCGAAGCAATAGATTATGTTCTTTAAAGAAACTTGCTAAATCCAGTGACATGCCAAGCAAGCTTGATAATTGGGTAATCCCCGTATGCTGTAATCCCCGTAAAAAACAGTTGTTTGTAAAGGAACTTAATTCGGTACATCATACAAACATATATGAGTATGGGCCCTCACAACTATCGAGTTTGCTACACCACCGAAATCAAAAATAGTTAAAAGTCAAAACGTAAGTTTTACGAAAGAAAATGATAAATCAGTTTTTCGAATTTACTTGTTTCAGGTAAAATGAAAGTAAACTCATATCCCAAAATAGGAAAGCTTCATATTCGATATTCATGTTATGTCGTATTATGTTCTTTTGAAATCCATTCTTTTCTGCGGATTATAACATGCATATATGAATATGTGCCTCCCCCCCCCTTCCCAACTATCGATGTTTGCTACGCCACTGCTTCACTCATTTATTATAATAATTAAAATTTTGTGTTTACCTGAGATCAACTCTGTACACGTGAGTTAATCGTGATCTGTTGCAGTCAATGGGTTCAATCAAGTATCTAGAGGCCAACACAGTTGTACGAATGCTCTCAGATGTCACAGATGATGTATGAGCAACAGATGTTGTGGCAATAACGCACTTTCCATTGTCGATTTTCGATCGCCATGCTCTGAAATAATGAATTTATGTATAAATTGAATACGCTCACAGAGACACTGTAGCAGCTACTACACAAACAAAAATAAACGAATATTATAAGTGGTATGAATTTAGCTCCAAGTTAGCTATAAAAATATCACATGCCTTAGAACAACATGGTCACGTGGTGGATGTAATAATGACGTTCTTGTGATGTATTGATAAATATCTATGTCTTCAGTCAACTCCCGAAGAACTTTTTCCGACAGTAAATCTTCATCCCACAGTTTTCTATGCATCAATAAAGAAAGTAAATAGTATCTGATGTTATATATAACACAATAATACATGTAGGATTGGGAGAAAAACGAATTGTGCTAAAGCTAATGCACGACTGGGAAAAAGGTAATGACCAGTTGCAACCACAGCTTATACCTGTCGTGAACGATTCTCTTCATAACAGCTTCTGGCTCGGCATGGATCTCTGCTGTCGCTTTCCATAATCGTAAAGGATAACCATCTCGAACTTTCTTATAAGAGATATCAATTGAAGATAGATTTGTCTCAGGACAAGTATGTGACACCCAGTTCTTGAATTTTAGTCTTGATTCCTAATTTTAGATGAGCAAAAGTAGATTTCGTCAATTAATTTTCAGAAATTTTCTCGTGTTCTTCATTCACCGCTCAACAGATTAAAATTCAAGTATAACCAATCAAATTGACACCATGACAAAAATAACATAAAACATTCTCTTTTTGAAAGCGTGACACATCACTGAACCAATCCTTTTGTATAATGTTACACTGCACCCGCCATATCAATGTAGAATGTCCGCAAGCACAAAGAAAAGAACCGGGGGGATGGGAATCTTTCCTTGTGGACGTTAACTGTCCTAAACTCTACCCCTCCCCATAGATTTAGGAGCTTAAAAATATGATTTTTACCTTAAGTATTGAAGCTATGCAAGTTTCAAGATAACTGTGATAATCTTCATCGGTACAGCCATCTACTTTTCCTAGTTCTTCAACATCTACTGGCTCGCCTTGCTCGATGTAAGAAAATTTACACTTCATCATCGTATCTTGTGGAATCTAAATTCAAATAATTATTTATAGTTATTGAGTGAGCTTTACTTAGAGGCTTTTATGAATCTAGATATATTTTTGTTTGGGCTGCTTCATCGCTGTCAATGAGCTAGATGGATTTTTCACGTCAAAACAGATCCATCTGTAAATTCTGTTTCTATGCATCGTTTTTTGGGACGCCATTACGTGGACCAAATTATGTGAGCTTGCTACGCCATTGTTTCTGGATGAAATTTCGTTGAAGAGAGACAGCATATTTGATTAATAAATCGCTTAAAGAGTTCTTTTCGCATGAGAATTTACTGATTACTTAAGAACCTTTTCCCTTTGTTACTTTGCAAGAGTGTCAGCGGTCTTTCATCGAAGTATAATGTCCGTATTCTAAAAGCTCACTCACACTCACACTCATTGAGTGCGACATAAATATTACACTTTGTCTAAGCATTGAGAAAGTCATTTCTCCATCTATGGCAAGATTTTCTTCAAGATAATTTAAATCAAGCAATCAGTGAAATTGGGTTTTTCGATTAACTATGAAGTGATTTTGAAGTTCCACTCATTGAGTGTGAGTGTGAGTGAGCTTTTAGAATACGAGCGTAAGATTTGGTTATACTTACAGCAAATAATTTTCGAACTTCCGTTATCATTTGTGTTATACATTCTTGGGCGTCCTAGATGTAGAGAAAATAAAGCGTTTGAAATACCTGGAAAACCTGAGAAATCTCGTGTAAACTGTCAAATAAAATATACTAAATTAATCCAAAACGACAGTAAAAATTGCGAGATAAATATTTCTTCTGTTGTTCAAACATAAAAGGCATGTTCTACATATAGAAACATACCAGACCAGTGGTCAAATCCTTCGCTGCTTTATTAACCGTAGGTCTTTTTACTCGTTTAGCACCTAGGACATCATCGGACGCACCACAGAGATGAAAGAAGGCTGGAACGAAGCACACTGCCAAATTGCTTGCTGTCATCTGAAGGAAGAAACTACTACATTGCAAAGAGCTTCAACCATTCCAAGTAAGAAATTTTGATAGTTGTTCGACTGTCAGTTATATGATTTCATAGCTTATCTTTTTCGTGCATCATTATTTGATGAATTTCAATCGTGAATCATTAAGATTAAAACAAAGGTTTGTAAAGTAAGGCGAGGGAATTTTTCCTGCTTAATACACACACCTGGTTAATATTGGATTGTTGAGCTACATCATGTAAAAAAAGTAAAAGACTCTGCAACGCCTCTCTGTTTTCGTCCGGCATTAAAAGTACAACTGCTTGCATCGCCCCAAGTCTTAATTCTTTTGGAACATCTAAATTATTCAAATTATTCGAATTATTCTACATGAATATGTAATTATCTCACGGCAAATTAATTCAAGCATAACCTTGTCATCATAATTGACTTATACTATTTTATCACAAAAACCTGCACGAAACTACACTCTGCTTTTCCCATTCTTAATAAGTTACGCCGTGAACTCCCTCCTTAAAACAATTTCAGCGCACTTATCTATTTCGCACATGCGCAGTAAAAATTCTAATTATACAAAATATATAACATGCATGAAATAACTCACGCTGGTGTATGGATAAAAATGTGTCAGCCAATTTTACGGTAAGTAATGGTTCAGGAAGTTCTCGGAAATAAATCTTCAACACATCTGCGATATCAAATATTGCCCAATCTTGAAAGTCGTCCATTTCTTTGACAAGAAAAGAATTTGACATAAAATTGCCATCGCTTACCATCAAAAACAAGTTTTACATCACAGTTATATAGTTTACTATACCAGGATTACTCTCCATTAAGGTTTTTAGTTGATGTATTCTCTGTTTCCCACCTGATCTTCGAAATAATCCAACGGACTGGAGTGCTGAAAATTAGTCAATAATAACCAATTGAATTTTATGCGTATGATGACATGCGCAATAGGGAGGGCAAGATTTGTTCTCTACATTGAACTGAAATAAATGGAACGCTATCTGAAGGAAATAATTGAATCCAAATCTTATACCACACACGCGAAATTAAACCCAGACACGCGTGTGTAGTGTTTCGAGATTATCTTGCCGAGTAAAAATTGATTGAACTACACACGCGTGTCTGGGTGTAATCTCACGTGTGTGGGCGTAAAATTTAGCTTCAAAAAATTATTAGGCTTTTCCATTACAGGTAGCGTCCCATGTATTTTAGTTCAATGGTTCTCTATGAGAAACCGCTGACTAATCACAAGAATATAGGAAATCTTAAATTTGTTGGCAAAGACGTTTAATTTTAAGACTTTAGTTTCTTTCAAGAGCTCAGCAACCAACGAAGAAAAACTTACAGCAACATTACATAACATTTTCAGCTATTTAGTATAACATATTGTTACCTGTTTGTCGTAAGTGATGTATTGCACAAAGTATAGTTTTTGGTAACGAATAACCGCTACGTTGAACATTCACAGAAAATGGCACTCCAAATACATTCTTTCCTAGAAAACAAGTCAATAAAACTTTTAAGTTATCTAAACATCATAAGGTACTAAAAGGACTGCCTGCATTTATGGCTATTTTCGCTCATGGAGTTTACGTTGTAGTTACGCCACAGTAAAAGAGTACAAGCAACACTTTTTATACTTTATATCATAGTATTTTACTGTAAACATTTATGACTACGTCATCTGCTAAATTCTTTCACTGGCAGTGAACATTAACGAATAGATATTCTTTAACAATTGATCACCTTTATAATCGGGAGTGATCATTTTCTTGAAGATCCTTGGAACAGACCTGTAAATGATGATCTGAATTTATCAGCAAGACTACATGTGAAAGGACTAAATACTGATCAAAAATTTAAAAAGAATTGACTGTGCGTGTATATCTTACCATCCTAAACCCCTAGTTACTGTTGAATATCTTTCAATTAAAGCCGTCAACTTGAGTAATGATAGTTTCCTGAGGACAGCCAATTGACCAGCAGACAAATTCGATATCTTTAGAGAACTGTAAAAATAAGTCACTTAATCAATTCCTGTACTAGCTTATGTTTGAAATGGTCAACGTTAAGGTTTCTGCAATGGTTAGTTGATATTTTCTGTCAAATTTAATTAAAGATGAAAAAAAATGATCACATACGGTAGAGTTGAGTCTCTTCGTGGATTTTTCGAATATTGAAAACTGTGCCATCTGGCTTTCTTTGCTTTTGGTTTATCCGTTCTAGGAGCTTGTTCATTAAGTGATTTAACCAACTCTAAATCGTTGGAAACATCTTCTTCGTCGGATGATTGATCATCGGGAGAAGAACCAAGAATATCTTCTTTGGCAAACTGTGAAGACGAATTTCCTGGTCTTCTTTTTGCCATGGGCGACCGAACCTCCGAATCATTAACGTCATCGTTCGCTAGCGATGACTTACCGAGCGAATTCCTCGTAGTTGTTTGATTGTTTGGGGAAAGATTATCGTATAAGCTTGGTCTTCTCTCATTTAACCTCGAATATAGCAGTTCTAAGGCTGCATTGTTGTTGATGTGATTAATATTAATTATATTATCATGGTTCGAATGGTTCTCTATTGAATGCATAATAGTTCGAGATGATTTCGGAGATGTTTTATTGTCATTAATTGAAACCTTTAGAGTATCATCCGATATTTTTCTACGAGACCATTTTCTATTCTTTCTCTGCAGTTTCCACCTCGAACTTAGTGCAATGAGCTCTTCGTCGTCGGAATCGTACTCGTCGATCTGTAACAAGAGCAAAGGAAACTTTTCAACCGTTCATGTTTTGAAACGGTTTCGAGTGTGTTTTTTGCAAAAAAGTCAGTGTGGCCATAACGCATTAGTGTATGTGTATTCTTACGTTCAAAAGTCAAGGGTAGTAACTCGATTCTTTTAAAGTTCAATAAGGTTTTGTCACTATACCATTTCCATATCATAAGCCTTAACAAATATATGCCTTAACACACATATTACAACACGTTGTCCTAAACCAGAACAAAATAAATTTTAAAGTAGAAAATAGAATTAAATTAATCTCATTATTTTATGGATGGTTTTATATTGTAAATCTTTCGTGTTAAGTCTTTTTAAGAACATTGCGTAAAAAGAAATCTCTTAATATGACGCATAGTCATATTCTGTAAACAAACATAAATTACGTTCTGCCAAAACAATAATAATCTCATCGAAACTCCCACCAAGCTTAGGAGTATTTTACATAATCTTGTTTGTAATTTCAAAAATGAAGATAACGATAAGTTCATAGAGTTCATCAAATGGAAGAAAAGAAACTCACCTTTCTTGGATGAAGCTTCAATTTTGCGCAGTTGTTAAGTGTTTGTAGTCTCCTGTTGAAAAAGAGCAAACATAGAGGGTATATATCCTTCCACAATTGCTTGTGTTTTTCGTCTCGTCGTCACCGGCGACATCGAGGATAGGTAATCATTTTGCAAAAACAGAACACGAAAAGTTCTCCCACACCAAAAATTTGTCATTAAATCATCAACGTTACTAATGTGGGGATCGTGCATTTTAATTTTACTCACGCAAAACAAAATGCTTTTGTACTGATAGGCAAATTGCACATCAAACTAATCAGTTTAATGTCCTCGAAAGGTCTCACAATGGTACAAAGTGCATGTTTTTCTAAATTTCATTGCATTAACATGTGCACCTGAACAATGCCTCGATGGAATCTTTATCCAAAAAATCGTGATCTTTAGCCACTGCTGCAATATCGATGGGAAACAAGGAATCTAAAAATTGCAAGATGTAACAAAAACTTTCTTAATATGACACGACAACAAATTAGATATAAAAAAACTCTTCACCACGTATAAAGATGTTGACGAGACTAAAAGAACAGTTGATTTCTGGTTGGAGACAGTTGCGTCGACAGGTTTTTTAGACTAGGAGGGGGGACAATGCAACCGTCAAATGTGTGAGACTTCAATGGGAGTTCAGAGGCATGCTCCCTTAAAAAAGATATTTGACTTTGTATTCTCTAAAACGCTATTTCTCACAGGCAGGATTTATGATAATCTATAAAAGCCACACGTTTCTAGAATGGCAGCATTTTTTTAGATGTATCAACAAGTGTATTTAAGTCAATCCTCACAGATAACAATGTTGGTAGATTGCTATTTACTATATATACTTTGCTATGTGCCCGTTTACAGAAAGCCAATTTTTTAATGCTGTTCGAATTTGGATTTATTTCACTTCATCCTTCAATCTTAAAATTTATATTTGGAATAAATGGGGGGACACGCTCCATCCCCCTCCAGATCCCTCCTTGGCGACGCTACTGGTTGGAGAAATGAATCGTGGTACTTATTTGAATACCACTAGTGATTGCCACCCAGTAGCATTGTTCAGATTTTTTCATTGTGACGGATGGAAAAGACGTATACACGACAACAGTATATATTAACGAATTTCACTGACGTTAACTGACCTTCATACATCTGCGCGTACTGTGGAAATCCCGTGGCTCTTAACCAGTAACAAGCTTCAAGTGCTTCGAGCTCTGAAAATTGGAAACACGGTTATTAAAAATAAATCTGCAGCATCTTTTTGCGTTAACCCTCCTATATAGAGTTAATCCTTAAAGGGTCCTTGGATGATAAAAGTAATTCTATATATAATCAAACGCTTGCCAGCAACATTCTATATTTGTGTATCTACTCTACGTTTACATCGCGTTTATGTTTGTCTTTCGTTTCACTGTAAGTTATGAATGGAATGCTTTTGTAGAAATGGCTCTAAAGTCTTAGTAAAATTTAGACGTTTACGAAAGTCTTGAAAAAGTGAATAGCGTGTGCTTATATGAGAAATCAATACGTCAGAAATTTTTCGTAAGGCAATATTGCGCATAATAGCAACAAAACTGATTCACGATCATTTCAATAATCACGACTAGAGATTTAAAGCTGGATTTCCACTTGCAAATTTTTTTGCGCGGAGCGATAATTTTCGAATTTAGGCATGCGCAGACGTTCAATACGTCACATATACACAGCGATAAAATTCGTATAAACTGTTCGCCACGACGAAAATTTGAGTTCGATTGATTTCTACTTTTTCGTTGCGAAAAAATTCGCTAGCCAATCAGATTTCGGTGTTTCTGATTTGTGATGTTTGTCAAGAATATTCAGTTATAGCAATAACAATCATAACATACTATTTCATAGCAGTAGCAGTCATATAGCCAGTGTTTGATTCAGCCATTTTGTATTAAAATTAAAGTTTTGTATATCACGGCTTTATTATTACTAGTGGAAATCATACTCTTCATCACCCGAAATTTTTCGCTTCGAAAATTATCGCTTCGCGCTAAAAAGTTCACAAGTGGAAATCCGGCTTAAGACATCAGTATTGAACATTCCCCCCATCGTGAAACATAATGTTGCAACATTTGGTGATCATTCCAATAACATATTCACCCAACAACAACAATAATTTTGTCGTTGATGCAAAGAGAATGATTGTCTTTGTCATTACACACGCCCATAGAAAAGGACTGGAACTGGAAAACAGAGCTATTTGATATTGGATGCTTCTGCCTCACATACAAATATTATGCAACATTGAAAAAGTTCTTTCTTTATACGCATAAAATTTATCAAAATATGAAAACAAAACGTCCATTATGTATTAACGAAGCAAAGAAATCGAAACGTCCATTTGTCAACGTAGCAAAAAATTGATATATATGTTAGAAATCGGTTCACTTTGATATGTGCTACTCTTACAACAGGCCCTCTATAGAAAGCAACCTCAGTTTATAAGGTTAGCATGGTCAAATACACCTTTTCTATCTATATCTGGGGGAACTAGTGCAAACAAACAGGGTTGGCCCAGTAAGGGAACTATCTCGCCGTGCAAGCAAAGTGAGCTGGTAAGGGAATTGTCCCCCCGTGCAAGCAAAGCGAGTTGGTAAGAGAACTATCCCCCCGTGCAAGCAAAGCGAGCTAAAAATACCATTATAAATTGATTGTGTAGTTTTTATCTGCCCATCAAACTATTTTCTAATGAATATACGTAACATTTCACGATTTTCTCGACAACAACTCCCGACTTGCGTAAATAGCGAACGAAAAAATTTCATTGGTCGATTTATTCGAAAATGTCTTCACATAATTTTGCATGTCATCGGCTACATCATCAAAGTGTGATAATCACAAGGAAACTCCAAGCTTATGATGTTGAACGCATCACATTTACATCATCACACAATTTCAACCAGACTTTTCTCGACCGGCAATTTTTTATTTGAGACGTTGACAAATTGTCAGTACTGTTATAACAGAAAGTGTGTCGTATCAGACATGGTCATATCGCCATCAACAGAAATATTAGTGTCTAACCGAAAAAATTCGAAAAGCCTGTTTGAAATTACTGCCTTAGTTTAATTTGTAATCCTAATTCCCCCAACGTTAATTTTATCATGCTAGGGCAGACATTTTATAAATTATCCAAGTAATCCCAATTTTAATTTGGTTTCTTCAAGGCTGTAGTATTTTTCTCTCAAATGCTTTGTTTAAAATTTTACTCGAACATTGATTTGAAAACCACGAGCCTTCACGCATGCCAGTTATGATTGGCAAAAGCCTTAGCCTCGTCTGGTATCAATCCTTGGAAAACAGAAAATATGACGATAAACCTTTCGTATTTGTCTATTTAAGTCTTGGAACAAGTAAACAGAAAACCCTGCCAACTTGCATCGACTACGCAGTCTTTGTAATAATTTCAAAAATTGTGTCGCAGCTTCTGGTTCTCAAATATGATGTTTTCATCGGTGCGATTTAAAGCACAAGCGAAAAAGTCCATACATGCAGCTTCGCCTCATAGCATATGTCTATTCAAGAAAATTTTGGCATTAATACAGAAAAATAGTCTCTGATGCAGGGTGCTTGTGATAAAAGATAAAAGAGCACGCAATTTTCGCATACCTTGACTTAATTACAAGCAAATCATTTTTTCAGAATTTCCAAACGATTTTGACCGTTGTGAATATGAATGGTCGTTTCACAGTCAAACGGAAGGGACGAAGCCTTCTATTATAGAACTGTAAAAGTTATCATGGCAGATTAAATTCCTGGTATTTGAAAACAGTTTTGATCTCATTCAACTATATCAGACATTCAAGAATAAATAAGCGCCGCTAGAAGAGGTTTTGACATTTATATTGACATATCATATAACCTCAATGTAAAATGATTAAATAAAGCGCATAGTCACAATAAAGTATTTCACTGATAATTTTTCACATATAACACATACAAATTGCTAAATTAGTAAACGCTTCGCCATAAAGTCAATATATTGAACGACCCAAAAACGTGCATGTACTAAGCTACAAGACGTGAAGGTTTTATGCTGCAGTCAAAAAGCTTGATTTCTTCAATTAGGATTGTTGTAAAATTTACTTGCCATTTTAACTTATCTACTGTTGATTTTAATGCATATAGCTTTTATTGAAGTGAAGCTGTTAAGAGTAAAGACGATAAAACAGCTTGCCATTCAAACAATAACTTCACTGACAAACTAATATACTTAGCTTATCTAGAAATACGGTATAGCATGTGTCGATTTCTGATTTTCAATGCATGATTAATCCCCACCTAGCATTCGCAATTACTTACCAAAAATAACGCGAGGCACATTTTCCTTTTATAGCTCTCTGAAGCAATGTAGTTTTGATGAGAGTCATGGAGCAGCATGCAGACTTGGAATACAGAACGAGGCTTATGAAACTGTTTTAAATTTAGCCAGAACCCCTGGTGTTTTTGTATTGCACTAACCACAAAGGATTCACAAAGAATTCGATGATTTTAACAGCTGCATGTACTTTAAAATATATTGTTTTTAGTGAGCCACTAACACATTACAAAATATGTTAGTTTAGCTCAAATTCTATGAAGTCTGTGCAACAAAAATATTACCACAAGAATGTGAAGAGCCTAACGTGATCGTGAAGATTGCTGGTAAAATGTTTAATGAGTTATCGTAAATATAGCTATAGTATGTTGTTAAGTTTGCCTTGACGAAGTTTGTTGATCAATTGCATTGGCAAAAATACTACACTATGAAGACATTTCGAAGGCAAAACCCTCACACAATGAAGTCTATACATGTTTTAAAAATCCACTTTGCATTGCACAAGACCACAAACAGTTCAGCTCGTTAATACGTCATAATGATTGCTCACAATGTTGTTAGAAAAGCGTCAACTAAAGCTGTTTTATAGTTAATATTTGGGACAATTCAATGTAGATTTGGACGTCTTGTTTTCACGATATGATTCATCTGTCAACAGTCTGTGATAAAAATTTTGCGAACAAAAAGCTGCGCGTGTCATTGATTCTACCAGTTTTAGTGGTCTTTTAGTGGGGAAGAGCTTTGTGTCGTATTCACGAAACGAACACTACAGGATCCGAATAAGGTTAGGCTTAGTATTGCTTAATAAACAACCAGTGAACCTCACACGATATAATCTCGATTAAGGATATATTCCTCTGTTGACAGACATCATAATGATTCGTTATGCCCAAAATGATGTTTCTTATTCATTCAAAGTTGAAACGTAAAATGTAACTGACATAAATGCGGTTTTTTGTAGTGCACGTGCATTCTATTAACATCCCGTGTTGATAAAAGTATCTGTCGTGCTTGCGTCATCGTACATATAATGCAAATGTAAGTTTAATTTCTCTCCAACCTACGATGCGACAATATAATCAATGTAACGTCTGGCAGCAAGCTCAGAATGAGCAGAAGTTTTAATACTGCTCATTCTTAAAAATATCGACAGTTTAGCAGCTAGTATCATCTTCATGTATGAGTATTGAGATAGGGCTGTTCTCTTTCGCAAAGAAAGTCTCTGATACATTCTATGGACACAAATACCAATACAAATAGAACTTTTTCTGTCTTGCTTAAGCGTTTCAGAATAAAATACGCGAATCTTTCACTTATTCTGATAGTGTGAACCAGCCTTTCGTAAATATAATTTTCAGAAGCTAAAAGTTAATAAATGTAACAATAATGAATTATCGGGATGAGTCACCGTTGAGTCACCTGAATTTTTCAGGTTTATGAGACAATTGCTTAGATTGTCCAGCAAAGTGCGAAGATCATATCTCAATTTAATTTCAAACACCGCAATGCATATAACATTATTTCATATGACATTCCTTTCACGAGAAAACATGAGCCCAACAAAATTGACCTGCTCTCCACTGTGTGACTTCATAGCTCAGTTGGTCAGAGCACTGCACCAATAATGAATTATCTCACATGGGGTATAAATATGCATTACGACGATATAACGACAAAATATTCAAAAGATACATTATCACCACCAACGTGGTTTGGCACCCGGCTACCAGTCTCCAGTCTACATATATAAAAGCGTTTAATCTTGACAAGGCGCGATATTAATTTATCAAGACATATTTTCATGTAATTTCTATGTAAGACTATGCATCATTGTAATGCTAAATTGCTGGAACCAGTTAAATATGG